ATTTTCAGGGGGGCTTATATTTTTGCCCATGCGAAAAATGTGGCAAGGCTTTAGTTTCAGGACAGGTCATATTTTCAGGGAAACACAGTAGTAAGATTCATACAGGGGAGAAGCCATATAAATGCACAGAATGTGGTAAGTGTTTTATTACAAATAGTTATCTTAACTCCCACAAAAGGTTCCACACAGAGGAGAAGCCCTATGGTATGGTATGTGGAAAAAACTTTACTAAGAAAAGTTATCTTATTTACCATAGCGGGATACATACAGGAGAGAATCCATATAAGTGCACCGAGTGTGGAAAGATCTTCACTAAGAAAAGTCAACTTATTTACCATAGCGGGATTCAGATGCGCCCAACAAACCGAGTGCTGAGATGCCTGGACAAGCTGTTGCACACAGCGGCTGCCATGATGAGCGTGGAGCCGGTGATTCCCTCCAGAGCCTCATTCATCAAGCTGGACCTGATAATGAGGATTGCAAACCAGATGTGGGTCCTCAACCTTTCCATAGTGGCTGGCTACCGAGTGCAGGACACATGGGACATCAAATCCGCGAAGTAAGGCAATCCAGACCGTGCTGCTGACATCTTGTGCTAGGCTGAGGAACCGGACACCACCTTGGTCTACCAACTTCCCATCATGTCCAACAGAGGGCTCTTTTTCCAACGGTCAGGCGAGGGCCTTTGGACATTGGGTTTGAGCCGCCGGGACATTATGGACTTATGCCTCATAGCCATTGGCAGCTCACTCAAAAGCTATGACCTATACATGCGAGGGACGATTACTGGTTAAAATTTTCCTGTATTGATGCCTGTCGGTATACTGTTGTTGCCTCTCTAGTAGTGATGTATCGTCTTAGGAGAGCTTGGTGGGTGGGATGTTGGATGTGCATGTTTTGTACCTGTACTGCTTTGTTTTTCTAAAAATAAAATGTTTCTAGTCGTACGGACATGTCGCTCCTAATAAACAAATGGATTTTTCCTGCTAAATGGCTTGGGGCTTCTGTTTTTATTGGAGCATCGTTCGGAATCCTGACACTCATATTATTAAAACATATGTTTTCTTGGAATTGACAACAACTGGAAGTAAGATAAACATAAAGAAAATCAGTTTTCATTACTAATATAGTGTTGACCACCTTCAAATGAATGCCCCAACAATGGAAGTCTTTAAGAAGATGTTGGATAGCCATCTGTCTGAAACGGTATAGGGTTTCCTGCCTAGGCAGGGGGTTGGACTAGAAGACCTCCAAGGTCCCTTCCAACTCTGCTATTCTATTGTGTTGTATTAAATGATAGTAACATCAGAAATCCAGAATTAAAATATTTGTGCCCATTGTTTGTGTTTCCACTGGTAATTATATCTCAAGTTTCCATTTATGAGTACAGACTCAGACAAACTCTTCCTAGTTCAGTATACACAAATAGGAAATCCATAGATGTCACCAACTAAATCTGGAATTTAAATGGATTTGCACCAAAATAGAAAATGAGGTCATTTCCTCAATTCGTACATTTATGACTTTTCCCCTGAATTGATTCTTTTGTCTCATAAGGGATGACATTTGACAGAAGCCCTTTCCACACTGCATTTGAACAGTTCCTCTCCTGTGCACGATTAGTGAGGAAAAAGGAGAAGAGGCTATCCTAAGGTCAGACTTTAAAAAAAAAACTTCATTTCTAAATTAGGTCTAAGTAAAAAAATATTTCTATTTCAACAACTAAGCCTACGATTCAAATGGATTCTTATTCAAATAATAATAATAATTCAAATAATTCTTATTTCAGTAGTAGCTCCGACCCTTTGGAACGACCTCCCCGTGGAGATTCGTACCCTCACC